GCCGTGGGCGGTGGTTAACTGGCACAAGGACAGGGGCTTCTTCCAGCGCCAGCTGCCTTTCTGGAGGTGGCAGGAGGTGTTGGGGGCTTAGGGTAGCCCCGTTGTGTGAGGGACGCCTGGGCGGGCCTCCTCTCGCTCCCTGCGTCTTCCTGGCGAAGGGAGAACAGCAAAGGCGAGCTCGCGTCTCTTGGGCAGGGGGGAGCTGCTGCTTGTCTGGAGGTTCAGCCTGCCAGTAAGGGGTTGTTTTCAAGGTAGCTGTTCTCAAGGGAGAATAAGGATGTGCTGGACAGAGGCGTGGAAGTAAAGCGTGCACACTGATACCTCGGTTGCCTTGGAGTTGCCTTTGTTTTTACTTGAATTTGTGTATTGTGTATGGTAAAGTCTCCCTCACTTGGATTTCTGCAGTGATGGAATAGCCAGCTGCCCATCATGGAGGCGAGTACTGAAAATGCCAGCGCCCTAGGCTACAAAAATTAAACACTGAGCCATCTTACAGAATATACAGAGCTAGCCAGTATTTCTGAACAGTAGAAAGGATTGAGTCATCACCTTAGCAGTGAAAGGTTTGGGAATCACTCTGATCCAAACTGTATACCGGTCGTGTCTAAATGTCACTTCTTGCTTCTTTATTTCAGCAGTATCTATTGGTCTTTTTGACCTGTTTTCACTTAGGGCAGCTGAATGGACTCGGTTTTTCTGCTGTCAGAGTGCTGAGTTGGTGAGGCAGCACCTCGGTGGTGTGACCAGAGCTCCCCTGAGGAAATGAGCTGTCTCACTGGGGGTCTTTGCAAAAAATAACAGGTTCAAGGTTCCACAAAGACTGTCCTCAAAGGCTAAACTTTCTTTCCTGGCAAGAAAAATAGTTTTATTTAATGTCTTGCAGTTGTTTTGGAGATAACTGTAAACTAAATAAAAGTTCCAAAGAGATTTTTGGCATGCATACTTCTGATTAATCACCATGCTACTGTATCCCTGAAGCTGTATTTCAAAGTCATACATTCCTACCACTGTCCACATTTAATAGTAAGACTCAATGGCCAAAGTAAGTTAGGTTTCATCTGTTAATTTCTGAATATCCAAACTAGCATCCTCACAGACTGCTACGCTATTCTGTGTGAATGTCTCCTCTAGGTGCTGCTAAGAGGAGGAGTTTAGGATCGCATTTTGTTGTCTAGTTGGAATGTTGTGGAGTGACAAACTTCCAGATTTTAAATCATATGGACAGTCTTTCTTCTCTTGCTTGAGTCAGTTGGATTCTCATAGAAAGTTTGAAGCAAGGTGATGGATGCTAGTACAGAGTTTAACTTGCATGCAGTGATTAATCAGTCTGTGTTCAGGTATTTTTATTTGTGGAGTAGTAGTTCGGGTGCTAAGTAATATCCAAACATAAATGTAAGGACTTAGCATTGTCAGTGATATGAAATATTTTAAAATTCGTTTAATATAACATAATGGTGTTACTGTTTGATCTTGTGTGGAACCGAGGAAATCTTCCTGAAGTCAGGGGTTACTTGGGGATGGGCTACTGCTTTCAGATTACTGGGTGCCATTTACAGATTATAAAGCCTGAACAACTGGGCATTTGGGCATTGCTTGTTCCTAATTAACTCGTGTCAACCTTTTACTGTTGTAGAAGACGTGTAGTTATTTTTTCGTTTAGAAAACACTATTGCTTTTGGTTTTCAGATGTGTTCTAAAAGAGCTGGAATCATTGGGGAAAGCACTGTATGGAGCAAAATTAATAGCCCAAAGATTTCAAGTTCGAAACTGTTCTCACCACAAGGATCCTGTGAGTGGTTCAGCCTGTTTACTTTCCATGATTGAAGAAGGCAACCCTCATCACTTCTTTATTGCTACACAGGTAAATGCTCATGGGAGACCTAACTCCATTTCATTTGAAGTGATCCTTTGATACCTAAGGATAAGGGAACCTGCAGAAACCTCGATGATGAGGTTTTTAAATAGCTTGTGGGCATTAATCTTGTAAAGCCTTAGTTGCTCTTAAACCTTAGTTGCTCTTTTACCCTAGAAGGATATTGCTTGGTTTAGCAGAAAGTATAGAAAACATACTACCTATTGACATGTAAGAAAACAAGTGGGGAATGTTAATTTGCATATTGCTTGTGTGTGCATTCCCTGCCCTAAACTGTTTTGCACAGTAGTCTGAAAAGTGAAATTAAGCTAAAATGACCATAGAATTTAAATGTTTAGAAATTTTGTAGGTTTTAACTAAAGAATTAAGGTGTACAAATAAGAAAGGCAGGTTTTTTCCTTAGGTCTGTTAATGGGACTGTATATGTAAATTATATACACTATGTATAAAATGGTTTACAGTAAAATTCTGTATAGTTATGTAAGATACAAGGAGATTAAAATCACTTGTTAGAGAAGAAATTATCTTACCTCTTGTGAAGTGGTGTCCTACATACCAATGAGCTGGGATTTTTTCCTCAAAAAATGCAAGTATGTTTATACATGTGTGAAAAAAGGAAACATTAATAAATTTTCCATCAGAAGTACAGCTAATCAGAAGGAGAGAAATTGAAATTTAAATTGCTCTGAAAGGCACTGCTATGTATATCTGCTAGATTAAGTTTCTTATCTCTTTCGTAATGTAATTTATCTTCATAGTATTGTCTTAAAAGTAGGTGCATTTGAATTGCAAATATCGTTTAATCCCAAAATATTGACTAAAGTATTTAATTTTACAGGACCAGGATTTAGCAAACAAAGTGAAGAAGAAGGCTGGCGTTCCTCTCCTCTTTATTATTCAGAACACTATGGTGCTAGACAAACCTTCTCCTAAATCTTTGGCATTTGTTCAAAAGTTGCAGACAGATCAGCTCGTTCCAGAGCACCAAAAACAAAGTATTGTGCAGCTTAAAGAAAAAGAAGGACTAGCAAAGCAAGAAGGTGAAAAGAGAAGAAAACGTAAAAGGGCAGGTGGCCCCAATCCACTCAGCTGTCTGAAGAAAAAGAAGAAAACACAGGAGGGTCAGGAGCCTTCTGCTGAAAAGAAGAAAAGAAGAAAAAGAAAGCGAAATAGGGTTAAAGCAGAAGCCATGCAGTCAGTACAGAAGAATGAAGAAGAGTAAAACCACCTTTGTAAACAATGCAAGACTTGAACATTGTTTGAACTTTGCAAAAAGATTTATATGCAATCGTATTAAGTTGTTAATATTAAAACTTATTTTTCTGAGGTGGTACTGCTTAATACTGCATCTCAACATTTGCAGGTTATTGTCACAAATAAGATTTGCACAGGTTTGTGACAGAATATTTAGAAACCCTCATGTTTCATTATTCTCTCCAGCATTTTGATTCCTTACAGAGAGTTCACACGATCGGTAGCAATTTTTGAGAAATGTTTCTTGGGTTTCATATGGCTTTTGGTTGTATTCTAGACTTCTTTATAATTCTAGGTTCTATTCTTAAGAAAACCAGTTTTGACAGTTCTGTTACAGAATGTGGAATTGACCTAAAAGAGCAAAGTATCTGTATTGTTTGAATACAGAAGTTAACTCTTTTTCAAAGTGACCAGATGCCCTCAAGAAGTCCCCTCCAGCCTAAATTACTCTCAAAACTCCATGTGTTTGTGATCCTTATTTTTTAAGAAAATTCCAGAGGGTGTCTGATTGTCTTGATATTCCTGACATTGAAATGGCATCTCTAGTATGTCTGGTTTATCTCTAGTTTATTCTTCCTTTTTAAATAGGAAGAATGCAACTTAAAAATACTGAATCATAGCACTGACTTAACACCTGGTGTGCCCACAGTATAGCAGAGCTGTGGAGGAGTCCTGACATGCAGCCAGCTGATGGTGATGGGACTCGGACCCTGTTGCAATTGTTTCATTGTTCTGTAAGGTTGGAGGAAGGAGCTGCCAAAAATGTTGCAAGTACCTGATTTTCTTTAGTAGCTATTTCCTGTACCTCGCGTGGTCAGTGGCATTAGGAGCAGAAGTGAGTGACCGAGACGACAAGGCAGGGGTGTGCAGTATAGGGCATGTTGTGCCGCAGGTGTGCAGGAACAGTGTTCCCAGTCACCATCTCTCCAGATTTTTAACTTTTTATGGCTGCATTTCTACTCAACCAAGATGTAATTCTTAGAAGGAAAGCTTTCTATTTCTTCACCTACGTGAGTTTAAGCCATCTTGTTCAAACAGTCCTTCAGCCTGTGTGTCATACGTTTGCAAAGTAGTTCTCATATGTGCATTATCTGCACAGGTTCTTTAATGTCTGGAGTATGTAACCCAGCTATAATGTATGATGCTTTCTGTTGGCTTTTCAAATTAAAAGGACTGTCGTTTCATGGAGTTTGAGAAATCAGCTTGAGTGATGGGAGTTGGCCAGCCTTGGCAGAAACTGCAGGGCTGTTCCCCAGGATCTGCAGAGATGTCCTCCAGCCAGCGCAGGAGAGGTACCTCTGTGCTTGGTGCTTGCAGCATGGTACTCTGCTGCTGTAGCCCCAGGTCGAAGCTGTTCCTCGCAGTGCAGCTGTTAGGAGTGTCCTGTGCCTTGACTGTTCCATATGAGGGACCAGACGCGCCTTGGGAACTGACCACAAGAGATGCAGCAAGGAAGGGTGCTATAGTCTAGGTGAAAGCTTTAATTAAAAATTAGAACATGACATTAGTCATGCTCATTGTGGTACTGTTCCTACATTGACTGCTAATAGTGAGTCCTGAGGAGAAATTTAATAACTCCTAGAAATTCCTTAATGCAGCATATTTGTTTAATGTGTATCCCTTTTCTCAAGCTGTCACAGTCCCTTCTCCTTCACTTCTTTGGGCACAGTGCCATGTTAATGTAGGTTTGCTTCTCATTCCCTCTTTAAATATTGCTTGAATGTCTTCCCCCTCCCCAAACCCACCTGCAGAAAGCACTGCTATATGTAAACCTTGGAGCAGACAGCAGAGATGGTTTATCTTCAGAATTTCATTCTGAGTCAAAAGTATGTTAAAACCCTGTAACTTCACTAAAATACTGGTTTTAAAAATTGAGCAGAAAACACACCCTAGTTATTTACAATAGTCCCTTTCAGTGCCATTGAAACACAAAGCTTAAATACACCTTTTTTTGAAGACTATAGACAGACAAAAACATAATTATTGCAGAAAATATTTTAACAGTCCTTTAGTGACTCCCACCTTAAGGAATTTAAGACAATATTTATCTGTGTTTCCTTAGTATTTTGTTAACACAAACTGAGTCATGCTGTTGCCATTGGGAAGAACTGGAATGAAAAGGGAGTGAGCTCTTCAGAGACAAGCTGTAAAAGTTGTCTGCAGCGTAGCTGCAGCTCTCCTCCAGTGAGGTAAATAACTTGCCTTTCTGTTTTGAGAGAGAGCTCCTGCCCAGGCAACAAGCAGAGGCAATCAGACCATGTGTTGTTACCATTTTGAAATTTAAAAAAAACCAAAAAACCCACCCTCGTTTCCAAGTAAAACAAGCCTGCCAGGCCAGAGCTGACAGACGGTATTTTTGTCATTAAATCGGTAACGCTGAGAGCAGCCTGTAGCGCTGAGCCCGGCTGGCATGGACGGGCACTGTCCAGGCTGGGCTCTTGTCGCACACGCCGGTGTGGCTGCCCGCAAACGGCCCCGTGCGGATGCCTCTGCCTGCCAGGATTTGGTGGAGGTTAGCTGCCTGGGGCAAGAAACTGTGCCAGAGTCCTTCTGATAATTCAGTAATGTGAGTCACAGGGAGCGTCCGAAGGCATGGTGTAAGGCTGCTGTGGAAGTGCCTGGAGAGCTCTTGTGGGTGTTCAGCTCCACATTCTGCCCAGAGCCATGTCAGCCAGTCCCACTCCCTTATCATTAAATGGTCTGGAGACCTGGCCACAGCTCTAGTACAGACAGGGTTCCCAGTGTGTCTTTTAATAAAGTTTAGGATCGTTTTGCTGTAGCATGTTGGAGGGACTGGTTTTGGTTTTCGAACTGCAGACAGCCAGAGGTAAATTAAAAGGAGCTTGAACAAAAACTTGTTTGGGGCTATTGATTTATTTTTTTTCTCAGACCAGATAAATATATACCCCGAATCCTGAATCTTTTTTTAAAAAAGAGGGAAATAACCAGTGTTGTACAGTACAGTGAATGCTACATGTGCAGCATAATAGAAGAAGGAAACAGCAATGCCTGAGCCACAGTCTGCAGGGCATTGATGCTGAATTCAGGACAGAGTCTCATCTACCAGCAGCAGCAGATACTTACCCAGACTGCCTGCCAATTCAATTGGCTGGATTTATACGTTGGTATTGTACAATAAATCACTCCCTGAGCATCTGTTAACGACACTAAATAGATGAGTTAATTAGAAGCTTCTGGAACCTGGGATGTTTATGAATCATTAAAGTAAATATGAATATGGTATGACTTGAAGAAGAAATACATTCTGGTGGTGAAAGGAAAATAGGATGTCCAGAGCAGTCCTGCTCATTTATTTTCTGCTACACTGATATGGTGTGAATGACTTCTCCATCAGCTTTAGAGTGTTCCTGGAGTTTCTTGAGCGTGTTCTGTCAGATGCAAGATGAAGAACATCAGAACAATACCATTATTCATACTCATTGCATCTTTCATATAGGAGTTTCACAGGCAGCTACTGTATATTTCATACCTCTGCGTAGGCGTAATATCTCACGCAGGGAGCAGCCAGTGATACAGGGAGTGAACAAATAAGAGCCTCAGCAGGTGTTACCGTTTACAATTTGGTGGAGAGAGATTGCAGTGTACTGAGAGAGAATGACAGAAAGCAAAAGTTTTTTTGCACCCAGAGAGTCAGGAGTGAGAGAGGGAGACTGCACCTTGTGATTTAGGAACGGCCTAACTAATGTCAGGAGAGGGGCTTGTGATGTATTCCTGGTAATTATGATGTCTGTGCACTCTGAGCCCCAAATTTGTCTCAGAGAGCTCAGCTGCCTGCCCACGGAAGCAGTCATTTTGCAAAAGTTGCTTCGGCTTGTTACAGAAGAGACAGGCTAGGCTCTCTCGGGGGGGTCTTTATTCTCTGATTTCTTCTCCTGCCGTTGAGAGGGAGAGCATGCAGCTGCACTCTGTGTATGGATACAGGGAAACAACGAAGCTGTTAACAAGGATCCAATCGAAAACAACCCAGAGCCAAGAGCTGGGAGAAAGAAAAGAGACAATAGATTAGTCACTGGGATTTAAAAGAAACCAAAGAAGAGAGAAAAAATATATGTGAGGGTTTCTGGGTGTTAACTGGAGGAAAGAATTTGTCAGTAGCAAAAGGTGAACCAGAAATAGCTTAGCTGTCAAGGAGAGTAGGGAACAGAGTAATAAACCATAAACAAATAAAAAAAAAACCAACCTTTCTAATTCCCTTGAGAAAACTTCATTGCCGTTTCTGACTCAGTTTCTGCCTTTTCAAAACAGGGAGCTGGACTGACTAACAGGCTCACAGATCCTGCGTTGATAGTCTGAGACTTCCCGCAGAATGTAGGTCTCATGATGCCAAACACTCCTTGTCTTTATGGTTTTTCAATATTACACATTTTGCAGCCAAATCCTTCTTCTGTAGAGCTTGCCTGACATTGCATGTGGCTCACTGCCCGGCATGCAGATACTACATCCAGGAGCAACCTTACTCATGCCATTATTGACAGGGTGAATCCATATAGTTAACTGCTCCTGAGGGTACTCACAGCAATAGCTTGGGATAGACTGAATCTCTTCTGGCTGTGGAAATCATGACCCAAAGTGTGGTGTTTTTTTTTAAAGTCTATCTCCTTCCAGGAACTCAGTAGGGGACTTGAAAAGTTTCTTGTTGCAGTCTTGACTTCTAGTTGATCCAGAATGATCTTTCTGCCATGTTCATTCCTCTGGGGCCAAAGATGCTACTGATTTGACTCTTCAGAGCAGTTACTCTTTCAGACTGTCTTGGAGAAACACTGAGGAAATTTTTCACTGTGTGAACTGGCACCCGTTTCGACAGGCAGGTTTTCAGAAAAAATGAAGAGAGCAGTTTTCTAGCATTTCTGGCTCCCTCTTTCTACCCCTGACCTCTCTGTCAGCTCCCAAGAACACAAGCAGGGCTGTGCCAGCATGGTCCAAAAATCTGTCTAGCCCAGCATCACACCTCCAATAGTGGCTGAAAGCTATTCCTCAGGAATAGGATGAAAATAGACAAAACATTTTTTTGGTACTTCCCCAGATTACTTTCCAAATTTCTGACAA